ATGTTCGACATCGTGCTGGACGAGAACCAGCTGGAGGAGGCCTGCGAGCACCTGGCCGAGTACCTGGAGGCGTACTGGAAGGCCACGCACCCGGCCAGCAGCACGCCGCCCAACCCGCTGCTGAGCCGCACCATGGCCACGGCGGCACTGGCCGCCAGCCCCGCGCCCGTCTCCAACCTCCAGGTACAGGTGCTGACCTCGCTGCGCAGGAACCTCGGCCTCTGGGGCCGCCAGGCCAGCCCCGGCCCACCCGCGGCCCTGCAGGAGCACGCGCTCTGAGGGGACGGCGGGGACAGCGGGGATGCCGGGGGCGCCGGGACAGCGGGAACGTCAGGGACATTGGAGATGGCGGGAATGCCGGGACAGCAGGGACATTGGGGACACCAGGGATGCCAGGACACCGGCAACATTGGGGACATCGGGAACGCCGGGACACCAGGGACATTGGGGACATTGGGGACATCAGGAATGCCAGGACACTGGAGACATCAGGGACACTGGGGACAGCGGGGACATTGGGGATGCCGGGGACGGCGGGACAGCGGGAACATCAAGGACATTGGAGACAGCGGGAACGCCGGGACAGCAGGGACATTGGGGACAGCAGGGACATTGGGGACACCAGGGATGCCAGGACACCGGCAACATTGGGGACATCAGGAATGCCGGGACATTGGGGACATTGGGGACATTGGGGATGCCAGGACAGCGGGGACATTGGAGACAGCAGGAACGCCGGGACATCGGGGACATTGGGGACAGCAGGAATGCCGGGACACTGGAAACATCAGGAACACTGGGGACAGCAGGGACATTGGGGACACCAGGGATGCCAGGACACCGGCGACATTGGGGACATCGGGAATGCCGGGACAGCGGGGACATTGGGGACATTGGGGACATTGGGGATGCCGGGGACGCCGGGACAGCGGGAACATCAGGGACATTGGAGACAGCAAGAACGCAGGGACAGCGGGGACATTGGGGACATTGGGGACATTGGGGACACTGGAGACAGCGGGGACACCGGGACAGTGGGAACATTGGGGACAGCAGGGACATTGGGGACATCGGGGACAGCGGGAATGCCGGGACACTGGAGACATCAGGAACACTGGAGACAGCAGGGACACCAGGGATGCCAGGACACCGGGGACAGTGGGGACATGAGGGACATTGGGGACATCAGGACACTGGGGACATGAGGGACATTGGGGACATTTGGGACACCAGGCCACTGGAGACATCAGGGATACCAGGGACATTGGGGACAGCAGGGACATCAGGACACTGGGACCATGAGGGACACCAGGGACATTGGGGACACCAGGAACACCGGGGACATCAGGGACACTGGGGACACCAGGGACATTGGGGACACCCCCCCAGCCCTCGGGAGATCCCTGGGGTCAGGGTCACCCCACAGGACTGTGACACTCCCCAGGTGTGACATTGTCCCCAAGGTCGCCTGTCCTGGGGTCAGGGTCACCCCACAGGACTGTGACATTCCCCAGGTGTGACATTGTCCCCAAGGTCACCTGTCCTGGGCTCAGGGTCACCCCAGGGGACCGTGGTCCCGAGGTTTGGTGTCACCTGCTCTGGGGACACTGGGATTAGGGCCACCCATGGGGTTGGGGTCACCATGGGGGAACCAGAGCCCCCCAGGAGTGGGGGACCGGGGTCACCCCAGGGACCTGCTCCTGTCCCTGGATCCGGGTCGCCCCAGGGACCTGCTCCTGTCCCTGCCGGCGTCGCATTTGGGGTCCCCCGGGAATCTGGGGCTGCCCAGGGGATTGGGGACCCCCTTCAGGAGCCACCCTGGGGCCCCCAGGGGATTGGGGACCCCCTTTGAACCACTCTGGGGTTCCCGGGGGATTGGGGACCCCCCTCAGGAGCCACCCTGGGGCTGCCCAGGGGATTGGGGACCCCCTTCAGGAGCCACCCTGGGGTTCCCAGGGGATTGGGGACCCCCTTCAGGAGCCACCCTGGGGTCCCCAGGGGATTAGGGACCCCCTTTGAACCACTCTGGGGTTCCCGGGGGATTGGGGACCCCCCTCAGGAACCACCCTGGGGTCCCCAGGGGATTGGGGACCCCCTTCAGGAGCCACCCTGGGGTCCCCAGGGGATTAGGGACCCCCTTTGAACCACTCTGGGGTCCCCAGGGGATTGGGGACCCCCCTCAGGAACCACCCTGGGGTCCCCAGGGGATTGGGGACCCCCTTTGAACCACCCTGGGGTCCCCAGGGGATTGGGGACCCCCTTTGAACCANGAACCACCCTGGGGTCCCCAGGGGATTGGGGACCCCCTTTGAACCACCCTGTGCCTTCCTGGGGCTGCCGGTCTGCCGGACCCCCATTCCCACCCCTCTCAGCGGGGCGAGAATTTGGGGGTGCCCTTGTTGTGGGGGTACCCAGCCCCACCCCACCGTGCCGAGCCGAGTCTGGGGACACACCGAGGGAGGGGACACATGTCCTGCCTGTGCTGTCTTGTCGCTAAATCTTCCAGCGAGCTCCACCGCCCTCCCCGTGCCGCTCCCTGCCCCGCTCAGCCCCGCTGCCACCGTGTCCCCCCCTGCCACCACCCCACCAGAGGCTGGCCAGCAGCAGCGTGTGTCCCCCGCTGTCCCCCACTAACCCCCCGCACTAAAGCCGCCCCCGCCCGTCCATCCCCGCATGGTGTGGTCGCTTCTCGCACCCAGGCTCCGCACCCGGCGGACTCGGGGGGCCGCGGGCAGGGCAGGGTCCCCCCGCCGCCCTCCCGCCCGGCTCCCCGCAGCCTGCCCCGCCAGGACACCTTCGAGGCTGCGGGCAGCCGGGATGCGGCGCCCACGGAGCCCGGCGATTCCTGCTGCGTGGACGTCGAGATGGAGCCCGTGGAGGAGGAGCCGCCCGGCGCCGCCCCGCAGCCGCCGCCCGCTGCCCGGGACGGGCCCGGGGTCGCTCGGGGGCTGCGGGGCCGAGCCAAGGGCGAGGAGCCGCTGGCTCGCAGCGATGGCGAGGGCTGGGGTCGCGACGTTTACACCCGTTAAAACCAGGGGGTGCGGGCAGGGGGCTCCCCCCTTCCCCAGCGTTGGTTTTGGGGGGCGGGACAGCCCCGCTGGTTGCCTTTGTGCCCCCCCTGAGCCCGGCCAGCCGTGCCCTGGGGGCTCCCCCTGCTCCTCTTCTTGCTGACGGGGGGTCTCCCCCTTTCCGCAGCCCCCCAACATCTCTCGGGGCCTCCCTGCCCGGCAGGGACAGCAAGTGACCAAAGGGGACCCCGGCGTGTCCCCGTCGCCCTGGCGAGGGGTGAGGGGCCGTGCCCCCCAGCCCTGCCCGCTGGGTGCCCCCCGCTTCTCCGTGGTGCTCTGGGACCCCCCACCCCAGCAGTGCCCCCCAAAATCCCGCGGCCGTGCCCGGGGGGTGCATGCGGTGTGTGCTGGGGGGGTCCCCGCCGCCCCCCGGCTGTGCCCCCCAAAAGGTGCTCCGAGGGGGGGTGGGGGTCTGCATGTGTTTGCCTTGGAGGGGCTCTGCCTGAATTTGGGGGGTGTTTTTTTGGGGGGGAGCCAGTTTTGGGGGTCTTTTTTTGGGGGGGAGCTGCCCAGCCCTGGCTTTTTTTGGGGGGG